AATAGTTAAGCAGTGAAGAACTGGCAGCTAGAAACCTATTTACAGAAATGAGACGAGCCAGCTAAAATGGCTGCAACTGCAACGTTTCTGCACAACATTGAGAAGGTGGTTACATTTTAGAATCGCTATAGTTAAGAGAGTTTATATAGCTGGGCTAAGTCACCCGCTTATATATACTTTCTTAAATATTTCGATTTAGAAATGTTTTCACCCTCTCAATGTTGTGCAGAAACGCGGCAGTTGCAGATATTTTAACTTGCTCGCCTCATTTCTGTAAATAGGTTTCTAGCTGCTTGTTATCTAACGGCTTACTATTTAACAAGATGTCATCATGGAATACACCATCTTGATCACAAAGAAATATCCACTGGATTCAAAATTTTAGTTTTTTTTGGTAAACTCGAATGATTGGAATCAAAATTTTTTTGTTAGTTTGTGACCAAGAAGGTATATGTTAATTTTTCTTTGGCGGGAAAAATTCAAGGGGGTACCTCCTTAAAATTTTTGTCGAAAAAGTTGTCAGGGGAAACGCTGTGCAAATGTTTTCCAATTTTCCCGCCAAAAGTCTTAGTATATACAGGGCAACTTTTTTTGATGACACCTTTGTAATTAATTTAATTGAATTTCACTTAACTAATTAACTATTGTAAGTAGAAAATTAAAGATGAATAAAACAATTGAAATGAAACGCTTGTTGTGAGTACTTTATTGTTTGAAATATTCCATTTACTTACTAATAAAGATTACATTTATTGACTATTAAGTGTAACTTAGAATTAAATTACATTTTGAAAAAAAAATTGGCGCATGCGTATTTTAGGCGCCGTATTTTTCTAAGTCTTTTGGCTGGAAAATTAAAATTTTTTTAAACAGATGTTAACAAGTAATTTTTTTTTAAAAAAAATTGGCGCATGCGTATTTTGGGCGCCCGTATTTTTTCTAAGTTTTTTGGCGGGAAAATTAAAAATTTTGACAAGGGTTACCCTTAGAGTAAATTTAGGCAGTCAAAACAATTTTTCAGAAAACATTTAATAAAGAAGAGCAACTGATTTTGTACAAAACTAACTGGACAGAATAAACTTGACATTTTTTTTTTTTTGCAAATTCTGGTTCACGAAAAATTTCTTTGAATAAAATCGTATTTGGTCGAGACATTTTGGATAAACAAGACAATCCATTCTGAAATTGGTCCGTGAAAGAAACCGTGAAAGGAACGAGGAAAAAACTGTGATTCTAAACACGAAGGCTGACTATAAAAATTTGCTCCTAAAGGAAAATCAAAGAATTTCGAAGCTCACGATACGAGAACTCGGTGAATCATATGAAAGAAACGTACGTGACTATTGAACAACAGTGGTGTTGCGCTACACTAACGACCGTTGAGAATATCTTATTAAGTTTTGCACGGGAATTATTCAAATTCAGGAAATGTTGCCGTATTTTAACTGCCAACTTAGAAAATAATGAAAATAAAGTTTCGTTTGGTACACTGCTGCCTTGCAGTTTGTCTAAGCAAGCCAACAAAATATCAAAAGGTAATTCGCAATCTTTATTTGCCAAATTAACACTTAAATCTTCTGTTGCAATGCCGTGTATTGAAATTCCCGCACAAAGCCTTATTAACATATTCTCAACGCCCGCTAGTGTAACGCAACACCACTGATGCTCAAGAGTCACGTACGCTTCCGTCACACAATCCACCAAGTTCTCGCATCGTAAACAAAGGCAAAAGATTAAAACTAGATTACAATTTATAAAGCAGAGCCCACGAAATTCCGTATAAAACCAAATTGTACATATTCTTTTTGGGCCGATCCCTTTTCATAGATAGCCTTCGTGTTTTACTTAATTGTATGGAAAACGTCGCTGATCCTGACGTTTAGTCCACGAAAAAATCCTATCTTACTCGTCCTATTTTTTCGGCTGTAAAAAAAAATCTCCCAGTCTTACTTTTGTCCTTTATGAATTATGTCTTGTCTTTAGTGTCCTGTCTTCTTAAATTGCCTCCAGTGTCTTGTCTTTGCATTTATCTTCCCTCAATCGTCTGCCTGTCACTGAGAAATCCTGAGAAAAGAAAGAAAAATTAAATGTTTGATATATACAAAAGCTTTGAATTGTATTTTCACTTTCTTTGAAACTACGTGAGGCTTTCTTCATCCTCCCCGATATATATTAGCTACAGAATTCCTGTAATGATTATTTTCATTCTTCTCATCACCTGTTTACTTGACAATGTACTGATTTTGTAAGGAGTAACTGGATTTCAATCATTTTTGTAAGCTAAAGATCAGAAAACCTCAACGTTATTTGTAGTAACTACACTACATGGCTTTGATGTACTTCTTGATTATCATTGCTCTTTAAACGGAGAGGAATAAAGTTAAATTTGTAGATTGGTTACTAGACACCATAGCATAGGCTTCGAAGCAAACAATAGACGTGCCAGTGGTAAAATTAAGGCAACAATGCACCTGCGACACCGTTTGATTCAATAACTGTTGTTGCTGTTTAAACAGTAACCCCAGTGAAGATTAACCAGCCTTTGTCACAATTACCATTAAAAAGCTTCGCTTTAGCAATAAATACACTCCCGCTCTGCCAATTTAGTAAAACAAATTATCTGGCGACGTCACAACACCTCGAAGAAAACTGAGAATCAGATAAGTCCCAAACATTTGAAGATATTACAACAAATTTCAGCTGCAATGCAAAAAAAATAAAAAATAAATAAAAAAAAGAGAGAAAATCAATAATTATCCAGTTCTTGCTGTCTCATGGAATAAAACAGTTCAGCTGATATTTGCCAACAAGTTTCTCTTTGAATATACAAAAAAAAAAAAAACCCTTCAGCCAAAAAACAATTTCTCATTTGGGAATATGTAAAAGCTCTGCTTTTCCCTGATTTCAGCAAGCCACCAGTTGTTAAAAGAAACATGTTCAGATCAGTAAATGATTTCTCTGAACAGTTTGAGGCCATCTGTTGGATGTAAGAAGGATGCTGAGATAATATGATAGCAAGATTAGTTGGTAAAATTTGGAGTCAATTGATAATATTGTCAATAAGACCGCTCATATTAAAAAATGATTTTTCAACTTGACTTATCTGGAGACATCCCAAAGTTGTCAGAAAACAAGTTAAGATCAAAACATGAGTCTGTAGTCTGTCAGTTGTCAGTAACCATGTAGTCAATCTACATTGTATAAACTGATAATTGATATCAAATGAAGATTGATATCCATTGCCAATAGCAATCAATGAAAATCACAGAATAAAAAAAAAAAGTTATGAGTTTGATCGTTATTAAACGATTGATTAATCAATTGGTATTGGAAACTAATTTTGACCTTTCACAAGTTACAGTCTAATAAAATGATTGACAAAAATTGTCTGTAATGGTTTTATTGAGTCATTTCATCTCTATAGCCTGTGTATGTTTTACAATCATCAACAACTAACAGAAACATTTTGGGCTTTACATGTCAGTAAGAAGGTTGACCTCAAAACATTATTTTCCTTGTCATTAAAAATTTGGAATCATCTATCAGTTCTCAGTTAGGACGTCGAACACGATTTTGTCACATACAATTTGGAATCATCTATCAGTTGTCCGCATTAAGATGTTGAGATCTAAACATCACTTTGTCAGTTAAAATTTGGAATCTTCTTTCAGTTGTGAGTAAGGATGTTGAGATCAAAACGTGACTTTGACAGTTAAAATTAATTTTGGAATCATCTGTCCGTAGTCAGTGAGGATGTTGAGATCAAAACACGATTTTGTCACTTAAAATTTGGAATCATCTATCAGTTGTCACTAAGGATGTTGAGATCAAAACGTTATTTTGTCAAGTAAAAATTCGGAATCATCTTTCAGTTGTCAATAAGGACGTTGACAATTCAAAACACCATTTTGTCAGTTGAAATTTGGAATCATCTATCACTTGTCAGTGAGGATGCTGAGATCAAAACATGGTTTTGTCACTTAAAATTTGGAGTCATCTATCAGTTGTCACTAAGGATGTTCAGATCAAACCGTGATTTTGTCAAGTAAAAATTTGGAATAATCTATCAGTTGTCAGTAAGGATGTTGACATCAGAACATGATTTTCTCAGTTAAAATTTGGAATCATCTGTCAGTTGTCAGTAAGGACATTGACATCAAAACATGATTTTCTCAGTTAAAATTTGGAATCATCAGTCTGTTGTCTGTAAGGATGCTGAGATCAAAACATGATTTTGTCAGATAAAATTTGGATTCATCTATCTGTTGTCAGTAAGGACGAACGTTGAGATCAAAACCTGATTTTGTCAGTTATAATCTGGAATCATCTACATGTATCAGTTGTCAGTAAGGATGTTGAGATCAAAACATGATTTTGTCAGTTAAAATTTGGAATCATCTGTCAGTTGTCAATTAGGACGTGGGGATTGAAGCATGTAGGGATGTTAAGATCATAGCTCATGATTTGTCAGTAAAACTTAGGAGCCATCTGTCAGTTGTCTATATTTTTTATCCTTACCACATCAATACATTATCAAGCAGACAAATGATGAGAATATAAAGAAAATCAGCAACTAGGATATATTGTACAAGCAAATTTTCAAAACTCTCCACCCCAAAATATCACAATAAGTGCAGAGAATACATAATTACTTTGAGCCCGGGCACTGGCCTGTTCAGTTTACAGAGATCAACATTTTAAAACCTCACAAGAAACTAGGAATCTTTCAAAATTGACTAGATCGCCATGTACACATTAACTACTTGAAGTAAGGCAAAGAAGCACCACTTTCACTTTGTGAAAAAACGCCGAAGAACTTCAAACTCTTTTTGACTCATCAAAAAAGGTTGCAGTTACATAATCTTGACACCAATTGATGAGTGTTATTTAACCAAATTTCTTAAGACTGAATTCCATCCTATAACGGTACACTGTACCTGTTCTTCTAAGTGATTAAAATGATAGTAAAACACTAGTCCACTAGTTATAAAGAAAAACTTTGACTGACCTATTTCACTTCCTCCACTGATCTGTTGGTGTTTACGTGTACATGCATGTGTTTCTTGTTTGGCCTGATAAGAGATACAAATATATTGTTGAGTTACATTGTACTTACAATTTCTCACTGTTTCTTAGCATTGCACATTCAACTGATGGAATTACAACTAATAAACTAATAAAAATAGTTTAATTATACAATTATTGGTGTACATGAACATACTCTTGCCAACAAAAGCAATGTGAATTGTGAATATCTGCAATGCTACTCTGTATTAAATTCGAGAGTACAGTAAATAAAGTTTATGATGATGTAAAAGATGATTGCAGATACCTGAAATATAAACTAACCTGATCTAGCTGTATCTGACTCCTCCATTGATCTTAGTTGTCCTATGTTGTTACAACTTGGTTTGCCTGATAATAAATGAAAATCAAAAAATTAAATTAAAGGCCCATCAGTTGCTGTTCACTTTTGAGTAGAAGTTATTGCATGCAACAATGAAAATAGCATTAAAAAAGCTCTATATAGCATTGAAGGTTGCCCTTCAGTAGCATGCTGGATAATGTAGTAAAGTTGTTCTTTCAAGTGGGTTGTTACACTACAACAAGATAAGTTTAACACCTGTAATACAGGAGTCCTGGGATCTTTACACTAAGATAATGATGTCATTGTTCAATAATAGTGTTATCCCCTTTGTCAATTCTCAACAGAAATAACTCTAACTGGTACTACAAATAATTTACTTGAAGCTGCTAACTTCCATACATGCAAATAAAATTACCTTTTCAATAGCTTTATCTGACGTCCACCATTGGTCTTTCAGCATTCCAGGCCTGTCACTTTATGCTCATGTTCTTCATGTTTTATCTGATAAGTAATACAGACATTTTGATAAGCGACATACTGTATACTTTTTCATGAAGATTATCTAACATAACATGTATACGCACAGTGTTCAAACAATTGATCAATAATATAATCAATCAAGTACATGTAAATATACTACAAACTAATGACTGTTTACATTGAAATAGGTGGGAGTGAAAGAGTGACTATCTGTGGTCTAGTTAAAATCAATGTATCCCCCTCCCACAACATTATTGATCTACTGTAATTATAGTCCTTCCCAAATTTTAAACCAGGGGCTCTTTGCCCAGGTTACATGCACAAGCCATTTCCCATCACTTTCTGCTACTGATAAGAACTGAATTAAAATATTAATAATTTCCAAGGCTAAGACAGAAAATCTGAAAGTAAAACTGACTGTCAAAACGCAGCAGTGCAGATACACATGTAGGTCACTTTTTATAAACTCCTGTTTCATTTTTAAAAATTTGACTTATAATAAACAAAGCTTAGAAGCTTGTACCCTCCCAGGGAACAAGGACTATATAGGTACGTGCAGCCCCAAACGGTATGGTTTTTTGGGCTGTTTTGGTCAGAAATAAGGTATCGATTTTGGCCATTTTGGTCTCATATTGGTATGGTTTTTGCACTGTAGTCTTGATCTGGGTATGTTTTTTTTTTCTTTTTTCTTTTTTTTTAAAGAAGAAGCTACTTCTTTCTTCATTATCAATAGTATTACAAGTAAGCGCATCAACAAAAGCCCCTCACAATCCTTTAACATTGGTCTGAACTAGAAAACTAATTATAAGACAGGTCTGAAACAGGGTATTGACTTAAGGGTAAGGTCTTATATTGGGTATCGAATTTTTGGTCAGGTCATAAATAGGGCAGGAAAAATCATAGATTTCAGTCCCAAATACATGTAGGGTAAGCCCCCCCCTCTCCCCCAACCACCCTACCTTTAATTACAGACTAACCATGCAAATTTTCCTAGATATGGCTTTTTATACAACGCTAGTTGCAAGAAGTAAACCTGACTGCCATCAAAGTAAGCTGACAATTGTGAAATTATGACCTAAAACCATCTAAGATTTTAATTTCCTTTACGAAAGAACTGTAATAAGCCGCTGAACTACATATAAGCTTACATATAAACATTCCGCGGCCCTAAGATTTAATTTTGCCCAGATTTTAATTCACGAGATATCGACTTGTTTTGAGGCAGCTACAAAAGTCGGACCGGATCAACTCGGACCGCCAGTCCGGGTCGGGTCTGGCACTTAGAATACAAAATGACGGCTTGACTACACAGCACGAGACGGAGAAACGTCGCAAGTCGTTTTAATTTGGCTCATTTTTGACCGGAATTTTAACCTTCAAATGGGTAAAAGTTTCAATTTTATTTAATTTTATGCTCTTTTCATGATCCGAGACGATTCGAGTCGATCCGAGTCGATCCGAGTCGATCCGAGTTGATCCGACCCGGACTGGCGGTCCGAGCTGATCCGGTCCGACTTTTGTACCTGCCTCTTATTTTGGCTAAATAAACGTCTCAAAGCATGTAAAATCTTTTCAACCGTTTAAAGACTCAAAAGTAGCAATAAAACGTAAAGTCTTCCTTGTACATACCTACTAGGATGGTCAAAGACAACACATCAGTGATATCTTGAGCTCACTTGCCGTTTCTGGCACTTGAATTGAGCGAATTTCCCTCCAATTTGTCCCACCGGCAAAATTTTGTGTCTAGGACACGTTTGGGAACATTTCTCGTAATATAGACAAGGCATTAGGCAACGTTTGAAGGAAGAAAATCGAACTTTCAAGCGCCTCGTGCAAAGCAAAAGGAGCGAAGAATTATTTGCAATGCAAATTCAAGTTGAGTCCCAGGGCAGCCTGTCTTTCTTAGCCGGCGGGGCCTTGGCGCCAGGAAAGGGAGACTCTGAAAACACAGGATTCAACCCTGGTTTCATTGTCAGATATATCCACTTGTTATAACAATCTCTTACTGAAACCCTTGCATTAGTGCTTCGACAATTCTTGCTTTTTAAACGTAGGAGCATGTACATGTATATGTTTCATTACGGAGGAATTCACCGAAAATGTCTCCTCGTAAGCCAGTTTAAAACTTCTTGATGGGTTGTAGATAGTTGCTGCAGTCAAACAGTTTTAGTTAGGGACCTACCAGTGGATATTTTCAAGAAGGAGACCAGTGTTACAATAGCGAGAATCAACCTTTGTTTCCTTCATTTCCAAGGCCCCGCCGGCTGCAATCACTCAGTCGATCAAACAAACAAATAGACAAAGCGGACGAACAAAGGACCGAATGTATGAATCAACGCGTTTCTACCGTTATTGGTGAAATTATGAAATCACTGCGAGACCATTGTCTTGATCCAGTTTCAGCCGTTTTTTATTTCTCTTTTAAATAAATGAACAATTAGAATAATCTATGACAGGACTACTTCTGAAATGGATATTTGATTGCAAATTACGGTCCAGCTTGTTTTCCTTTTGTTTCAGAAAACAGTCTGGCAGCTATCAAGACATTTTAATCTACATGGCATTCAAAAAGTGATACCAATAAAAGATGTTAAAAGAAATGAAGGCAAAAGGAAAGAGAACACGCGACACATAGTCAATAGCTTTGGCAATCGAGGTTCGATGTCCTTTGTTCTTGAACTTTAGCGGATCCTGTTCTTGTCCGCTGTCAGCCATCTCATTGTCATTCCTGTTCTCCGGTAGAAATGGCATAGCGCCATTATTGTCCCGGGGAATTGCTGGCTCGCTGTTACTTAAAATCTTCTCCAAGTTAAGTAATCCTCGTTTCTTAACGAAATTCACTTCATATTCGTCTTCCTTCATACGTGACATCTGTAACACAAGCGATAGACGCGTAAGCCAAAACTATATAAACAAAACAAAACAAAACAAAACAAAACAAAACAAAACAAAACAAAACAAAACAAA